GGGCTGCCTAGTGCACTGAGGTCAGCCTGAACTATACAGCAAGACCCTGTTTCAAAAAAGGGGGGGAGGGTGGAGAAACGGGGCCAGCCAGCTAGCTCAGCGGATCAAAGCACCTGCTTAGGCAGACACAGGGACCTGGGTTCAATCCCTGGGTGTGCTGTGCCAGTCCTGTCCCTAGAGCAGACTGAGACAGCAATTGAGACTGGGTGTGCTGGTGCACACCTGTAATCCCAGTACTTGGAAGGTTGAAAACAGGAGAATCACTACGAGTCTGATCTGTGCTGTGAGACCCTGTACTTAAAAAATACCCTGTCCTAAACACAAAAAGGAAGGAAGAGAGAGAGAGAGAGAGAGAGAGAGAGAGAGAGAGAGAGAGAGAGAGAGAGAAACAGACAGACAAACAGACAGATAGACAGACTTTTAGTAAATTATTCATTCTCCAAAAAGATGATGTTATGATTTGTGTATATGTATCCCCCAAAACCTCATGCAGTCATGGGGCAGCTTCTGGAGTTTGTGATTGATTATTGTGGGTGTGGATGCTGCACTTGCCCTGGGGTTTGCATTACAGTGTAAGGAAGGGATAGAGGTTAGCTAGCTGCCTCACCTGCTGCCACTCCCTTCACTCTCTTTGCTGCGGCCATGAAAGGTTGCTGCCCACCATGTGCCACTCTGCCTTGGAGCCAGCTGAGTATGGACTGAAACCTTCACTAACTGTGAGCTAAATAAACCTTTCCTTCCTTCATTTTAGGTGTTGAGTGTCCCAGCAATGAGAGAAGAGTAGCTAAGACAGATGCCTTCTCTCTTTCTCAGCCCTCCCTCTCATGTCTCTTGACAGTTCTCTTCTTCATGAAAACATGAGAGTCTCAAACACAGATTAGACCTTAACATGGCTCTGGAAATTTTAGAATTTTTTTCTCACATTTTATACCATTTCTCTTTAGCTTCTGCATGATTAGCTAAATTTTAGGAATAAGCAAGCTCTCCATCAGCAACATATCTCAATACACATACTATCTAAAATTCCTGCACATTGGGAAAAGGATAGGACCTAGAACTGGAAAAAATAAATTCAGGCTTTCACATAACGTCATATTTTCCAGGCTCCATTTTCTGCCCTACTGGGTTATTGGGAGTTGAGTGTGACAATGTGGAACTATGTGAATAGTTTTTATGACTATTATTATGGTTATAAGGAAACTAGCAACACTGTATTTGGCCCCCCAGTGGAACTGTAGCACAGTGTATGAGCTAGCCTCTGGCACTAGGGTTTGAAATTGTTTTTATCACATCATGACAAGCACTCTGAACCAGGCACTGGTTTCTCAGCCTTGGTAC